AGGCACGTTGCTAGCAGAGGTTATTCCTTGGAGAGGGGCATCATGCTTGCAAATGCAGAAGGCTGATAAAGGGAGGAAGACCCTCAACCCAATGGATTGATACCATGACTTCCACAACGGGTTCTAGAGTGTCAGGAAGGCACAGGATAGGATTAGGTTCAGATCTGTTGTTCATAGGATCACTCTGGGTCATAATCAATGGCACCTAACAACATGAAAAAGAAAGAAGGATTGGCTATCCATTTCTGAAACAACGGGACTTTGAAAACCCTAAGAACAGAGGAACGTGGATAATTATAGTATTAGACATTGAGAGCAGATTGGGAATCACTCAAAAGTGAGTACATGCAAAAATGAATGAATGGAAATCCAAAGTCTCTGTAACTTTCAATAAAATTAATGAAAAAAATATTAAAAAGAAAAATATGGAGAGGAAAAAAGCCTGAGTACAAATGGTTGCAAACTGCCATTAATACTTGGAACATAAAAATGTACTACGTATGAAGGTAGAAAAAATGGAAGTTGTCAAAATTTAAATGGAAAGCATAAATATTGACATTCTAGACATCAATGACTTGAATTGTACAAGCTTGGGGTACTTTGTTGGTTTTTATTTATATTTTTTAAAGCATGGGTAAATTCTAATCAGAAAATCACATGATCTACTATGCTGAGAATAAAAAACTAAGGAAGAATGATGTTAGTTTCATAATTTAAAAAGGCAATTTCAAAGTCCATCCTGAAATATAATGCTATATAAGTGATAGCATATTATCTATACACATATGAGGAAGACTTTTTAATACAATTATTATTCAATCATAAGCACCAACAACAATTATATGCCAAAATAAGGAGACTAACGGTTTCTACGAAATTTAATAATTATTGGTGACTGGAAAACAAAAGTTGGAAACCATGAGGAAGGTACAGTAGTTACAAAGAATAGACTTGGTGACAGAAATGAGGTCAGAGATTGAATGATCAAACTTTTTGTGCTCAATGATTTAAAAAAAATATCTCTTTTTCTAAAAAAGAAATGGCAACTTTTCACATGAACCTCACATAATGGATTTGCACAAAAATCAGATTAACTATATTTGCAGATAGAATCATTGGAGAAGCTCAATATTTATAGTCAAAATGGGATCAGGTACCAATTGTGGAACAGACCATCAATTACTCATGTGCAAGTTCATATGAAGATGAAGAAAATTAAATCTAGTCCACATGAAAAAAAAACCCAAACCCAACCTTGAATCTATTAAAGTTGAATTTAAGAATCATCCCAAGAGGGAGCTCCAGTGGCCTAGAGGCAAGAAGCTATGCTGTAATACTGAAGGCACATGGTTCAAATCCACGAGATGCTCCACTGGAAAAGGATGGCCAGTCTCCTCCTGTGCCAGTCAGATATGACCTGATGGCACACAACAAAAATAAAATAAAATCTCCTCCTGTACCAGTCAGATATGACTTGACAGTACAATGCACAAAAAATAATAAAATTTTTTTTTAAAAAGTTGCCTTCTAACTCAATCTTAAGTGTCGAATAAAATAAGAATCTTTTTTTTAAAAAAAGAAAATAAAAGTATCACTAAAAAAAGAATCATTCCAAGAACAGATATAAAGCATTGAACAAGAATGGTCAAAGACCAGAGGAACTGTGGAAGGACATCAAAGATATCATCCATGAAGAGAGTAAATAGTCGATGCAAAAAAGTTGAAGAAAGAAAAATAAAAAAGGGATGTCAGAAAAGACTATGAAAATGGCATTATAGCATTGAGAAGCTGAAAGAAAAGGAAGGGATGCCAGGGTAAAATAGCTGAACAGAAGATTTAAAAGGGTAACTCAAGAAGATAAAATAAGATACTATAATAAAAAGAATTGGAATAAGAGAATAAAAAGCATTTCTCAGGCTGAAAGAACTAAAAAACAAATTCAAGCCTCAAATTGCAATAATGAGAGATGCTATGGGCACAATCTTGAATGATCCAAAAAGCATCAAAAGAAGAAGGAAAGAACATATAAAACTGTTGTACCAACAATAATTAGTTGACACTGAAAAATTTCAGTAAGTACTATATGAACAAGAGCCAATGGTGATGAAAGATGAAGTGTAAGCTGCACTAAAGGCACTGGCAAAAAAAAAAATAGCCCCAGGAAATCAATGAGATATTAACTGACATTTAACTGATGCAGCCCTGGATGTGTTCACCATTTTATGCCAGGAAATCTGGAGGACAGCTAGAAATTTGGAGAAACCAGAAGTTCAAGTACATTTTAAAAGAGGCTTTGGCACCAGCAACATCATTGTTGATGTCAGATGGATACCGGCTGAAAGTACAGAATACCATAATAATGACTATCTCTGTTTTATTGACTGTGCAAAAGCATCTGACTGTGTGGATCATAACAAATTACGACTAACATTGAGAAGAATGGTGATCCCAGAACACTTAATCATAAGACAAGAAGTTGTCTGAACAGAGCAAGGGTTACATGGTTTAAAATCAGAAAGGGTGAAAAAAAAATCAGAAAGGGTGTTCTTCAGGCTTGTATCCTGTCTCCATACATGTTGAATCTGTATGCTGAGTAAATCATCTGAGAAGCCAGACTCTATGAAGAAGAATGTGACGTCAAGATTGGAGGAAGACTCATCAACAACCTGCATTACGTTGATGACACAACTTTGCTTGCTGAAAGTGAGGAGGATATGAAATGCATGCTGCAGAAGATCAAGGACTACAGTCTTCAGTATGAATTACATTTCAACACCAGGAAAACAAAGGTCCTCACCAGAGAACCAACAGTTAACATTATGATACATGGTCAAAGGACTGAAGTGGTCAGTGATTTAATCCTGCTTGGATCAACAATCAATACTCCAGTATCAGCAGTCAAGAAATCAGGAGACGCATTGTATTGGGTAAATCTGTTGTCGAGACCTCTCCAAAATGCTGAAGAGCAATGATGTCAGTTTGAAGAGTAAGGAGCATCTGATCCAGGCCATGGTCTCCTCAATCACCTGCTACACAACAGAGAGCTGGACAATGAGTAAGGATGACAGAATAATTATTGATGCCTTTGAGTTGTGATACTGGAGAAGAGTACAAAATATCCTGTGGATTGTCAAAAGAACAAGCAGGTGTGTTTTGGAAAAAAGTGCAGCCAGTGTGCTCTTTGTAGGCAAAGATGGCAAAGCTTTGTCTTTCATACTATGTACATTAAGCTAGGTGAGGCTATTCCTTGGAAAGGAACATTATGCTTGGAATGATGGAGAGTTGATGAAGGAGAGGAAGATTCTCAATGAGATAACCTGACACGGTGAGTTCAGCAATGGGCTGTGCTGTGTCAGAGATTATGAAGATGGCACAGGATAGGGCAGGTTTCAGGTTGGCTGTTAATAGGGTCACTGTAAGTCACATTCAATGGCACCTAACAACAACAACATGGGTCATAATTGACTCAAAAGTAACTAACAACAAAAACAATTGTATAAAGGGAGCTTTGGTGGCACAGTCCGTAGGAAGTTGTAATATTAATCTCTGGCAGTTCAAATTCAACAGCAGTCCAAAGAAGAAAGATGGGCAAATCTCTTTCTATGTAACTTATAGCTTCAAAAATCCAATGTCGGTTCTGCCATGAGTCATTTCCAACTCAAGGGTGATGAGTTTGGGTTGAGTATTATGTAAATCAGAAGGCGTGTTAGTGTAATTTGTAGGGAGTTGTGTTGCCACGTCGCTCAGGTGGTTGAATCCACTAGTGGCTATGCAGGAGAAAGGTGAGCAATCTCTTTTTATGCAAACTGCCCTGCAGGGTCAGCTATGAGTTGGTTATGATTCTACAATTGTTTGAGCATTATACAAACTAATATATAAAAATCACCTTTACTCTAGCACCCAGTGATCAACAAAACTCACTGCCATCAAGTTGATTCTGATTCAATAGTACCATAGGACAGAGTGCAACTGCCATTAGAGTTTCCAAGATTATATTCTTTGTTACATCATTTCCCTTGGTATAGCCACTGAGTTCAAACCAGCCAAGATTCAGTTAGCAATTAAGGACTTTAACTTCTGCATCACCCAGGATGAACTACTATTAAAATTTTGGTTCATGTCCTACAAATAAACATTTTTATTCGTGTACATAGATAATACATCTGTTTATGTTGTGTGTGTATAAATATTTTATCAAATATATAGCTTTTCTTCCTTTTAACAAAATATCGCAGATACTTTCAAAGACATTGTCGTTTGTTACCATCAAGTAAATTACAAGTCATGACAACACCATGTGTGCAAAGTAGAAGTGCTCCCTGGAATTTTCTACATTATAGCCTTTCATAAGCAAACTGCCAAGCCTATTTTCTGGCATGCCTGTGGGTGTGCTCAAACCAGTAACTTTTTTATTTTACTTAGTTAACAGCTTAACTGTGCCATCTAAAGACTTTTAAACTTCTAATTTTTAATGAATTCACAAGATAGTGATACACCACCACTCATTTGTTTCTAGGGCTTATTAAATATTATAAACAGTAATGTAAACTTTGTAATCTTGTCTATCTTTATATATATCTCAGGTTCCTCCTGGAGAGGGTTAAGCCAGGCTGCTCCTTGGAGGTAAGGATTCTGATATACTTTGGACATGTTGCAAGGCAGGACCAGTCCTTGGAGAGGGACTTCATGCTTGGGAGGGTGGAGGGACAGTGCAGGAGAGGAAGACCTTCGATGAGATGGATTGATTCATTGTAATCAATCAGGGTAATGGGGGTGGGTGTGTCAGAGACAATAAGATTGGCACATGATAGAGTAGGATTTAGGGCTGTTGTACATAGGGGTTGCTATGAGTCACAGGCAATTTGGCAGCACATAACAACAACCACATATCCATAGGAGTTACTTACAAAAAGTGAAACTGATTCATTCTCCCATAATAAAGGCCACAGAATCAGAATACTAGAAATGAGTGTTAAAGGAAACAAAAAAAAAATAATTACCTGATAAGGTAGCATCAAATCCCATGTTTTCTATTGCTTCTCTCAAGGTTTCTGGAGAGATCAGTAGAGGATCATACTCAACAATTCCATTGTTATTTTCAAGGGAGACTTGAATGCATTTTACACCTGCCTTTTTTGATACGACACCCTCAATACACTGCACACAAGAATTACAAGTCATGCCACCAATGTTTATCACAGTTTCTTTAGTCAGAGGCTGGTTAACTATGCTGAAAGGAGTTTGTTGAAGAGATGAGCTGACAGGAGAGCTTGCAGTATTCTCAACATTGCTTGTAATACTAACATTATATTTTCCTGGTGATATTGCCTCTATTGACTTTCTAAGGGTTTCTAGACTGACTGAGCTTGCATTGTATTTTACAATGGCAGACTTATTCTCTAAAGAAATGACAATGTTGCTTACATACTGGAGTGTAGACAAAGTACTTTCAATATCTGACACACATGATTTACAATGCATGCCATCTATGATAAAAGTGGCTGTTGAATCACTGGTATATGACAGACTTCTCTGCTGTGATCCTTCTGAGGATCTGACAGGTGTGTTCTTTAGACGATCTATATCAATAGCTCCCAGTGTAAGGTATTTCGGCTGGTTTTTGATGAATGCTTGGAAGCCTACAGATTCAAACTGCTTTTTTATTTCTTCTACTGTAATAAGATGAGGTTGATAAATAACAGTAGCTTCTTGGTTGTCCACGGAGACTATTTAAAAAAAAGAAAAATAGTCATTTCATTCAATTATGCCTGGTTCGGTGAAAAACATTCTATACACCAAATAAATAGTACAAATAATTATTAATCTTTCATTCTTTTTTCTCTTATGTTTTAGTGACAATTTACATAGCAAATGCATCTTCCATTCAACCATTCATATTTCTTCATGACAGTTATTACAATACCTACATTGTAACCATATATTTCCTGCAGGTATACTTCTCTGGTTTTCTCTTTCTTTGATGATATTGTACTGATGATATTGTATACTGCCTTTCCCTTCATCCAAATTTATAAGTATTTATTATTGATTTAAGTGGGCTCTGATGGCTGAGACCCTAGAAAAAGGAAAGGGAATCTCCTGCCATGCAATTTACCACCTCAAAAATCCACTGAAGGGTCAGTTCTAAGTCAGTTTCAACTTCATAGCAATAATTTTCTCTTATCTCCCTCCACTCTCACCCCTAGTTATCATCAATGGTTATCATATTTCTTTCTTAGTATAAATCTTTTCATTTTTTAAATAATAGCAGACTAACATAATATTTGTTCTCTCATAACTGACTTAGTATACACTAAGCACAATGTCTTCTAGATTCATCCATACTATAAAGTGTTTTGCAAATTCTTCCTTACTCTTTATAGTGTTGCACTGTATTCCATTGTATATACATCAATTCATTTGGTGATGAGCAACTGGTATAGTTCCATCCATCTCTGCTACTGTCAATAATATTGCAACAAGCATCATTCACTGCCATGTAGTGGGTTCCAACTCATATCGACTCTCCACTGGGTTTCTGAGGTTGTAAATCTTAACAAAAGGAGACTGAACATCTTTTTCTTACAGACACACTTGTGGATTCAAATTGCCTAAGATGTATGGCCTTTTTGATACCAGCACAGCATGCCTTGGACTATGTTACCAGAGACCTGGTTTCAAATCTCAGAAGGCACAGTTCTTATCTCTTCAGTATACACACTAAAGTGAGATTGAAGGATCAAATGTTATTTGGATTCCCAACTTCTTAAGGAAGTGTCTAACTGCTTCTCGCAACAAATGTACCATTTTATATCCCTACTAGCAGTATATAAGAGGTCCATTCTCTCTCTATACTCACCAGCATTTACTGTTTTCTGTATCACTGAACTGTCCCTCATTGTTGTCCTCATTCTCTGGAGGCATAGTGGTAAGAAGGTACACTACCAACTCCAAGGCATGCTGTTCCAATCCACCAGCTGCTCTGTGGTAAAAATATGGGAAATCTCTTCCTGTGTAACTTAGTGCCTTTGAAAAACTGCTGGAGAGTTAGCTATGGGTCTGTTTCAAGTAAATAATACACAAAAATGACCCTATAAGTAAGGGCATATATATGCAGAACTGCCCCATAGTATTTTTAAGGCTGTAAATCTTTATTTAAACAGATCACTTCATCTTTCCTCCACAGAGCAGCTGGTGGGTTCAAACTGTCAACATTTTGATTAATAGTCAATTGGCTGAACCACCATGATACCAGGGCACTGGTGCCATTAATATAGACTGAAGAAAAGTGAATAGATGAAAACTGGAACTATGTTATCCAAGTTTATGCATACTTGACTAAAGATATGTAAAACGCAAAGAGAATCTTATGCACATTTTGTTAAGAAATTTGAAATCCACAAATCATAATTCAGCAGGTTTTTACACTAACTTTCAATCTGACACTTGTGTAACCTTTAATGAAATTAACTTTAATGTACATCAAACTACAACAAAGTACTATTTAAGTCCTATTGTTCTAAAAGTCATGCTTAAGGGGGGAAAAAGTTAAAAGGCTGATGGATGTGGGTGGAAAGAAGGAATTAGACAAGATTCAGTTGGAACTGAAAAAGATGGGATAAGGGGTACAGATCAATGATGATTAATTTAATAAGAGACAATGTACGGAAATGATTGTTATATAACAGCGTGAATAAGGAATGTATATATGAATGAAAAATCTTTTCATGTAAAAAATAACAATAAAATGGGAAATAAAAATAAAAATGTTAAAAGGCTAAAATGGAAAACTAAGCAAAAACAAACAAGCAAACAAAATCAGATATTTACCTTTAATTCGCTGAATACCTTGCAGTTTCCCAATTTTTCCTTCAATGGTGCTAGTGCATGAATGACAGGTCATCCCTTCCACTTTCAGTTTCAGCATGATTTCATTTGCTTGAGTCATACTGTAACCTTCCCAGGTTACTGACTTTTTCTCCACAGTTTCAATGTCTAAGCTCATACCTGGAAGCAGTTTTAATATCTGACTGGCGCTTACTACAGAAGGGATTATTGTCACCACTGCAGTTCTTTGCTGACGGGAAATTTTAATGTCTGTCACACCCTTGGTGTTAAGCAATGTATTTTGGATATAGTCCCATGGTGGAGCAAAAGAAGGATTAACAGTCAGAAACACGGTGTCAGTAAAAACAGGAAGAGGGTTGAGACTGGGGACAAAAGTATCAAAGCCCATGTCATAAATTGCTTCCTGTAGGGTCTGTGGAGTGTGTAGTTTAGGATCATAAACAATAGTTGCATTTTTTTCTTCCAGTGAAACCTTTTGGAAAGAAATTTCATAAGTAAGTTTAGTGAAATTATAAATCACAGGATTATATCAATGATCATGCCACATTCAAGAAACATGAAACAATTCCGTCTTTACAAAAGAAGCACAAAATAACACAAATCCCTAAGTTAAAGATATATGCAGGCATAGGTGCCTTTGGAATTGACCAAGTATTTGAAACAGGCTTATAAACAAGCATACTAAAATTTTAAAAGAGTAAAAAATATTATCTTTTTAAATTTTTTTTATTTTATTAATTTTTGTGCATGTACCATCAAATTGCATCTGACTGGTATAGGAGGAGACTGTCCCTCCTTCTCCAGCAGAGCATCTGGAGGATTCAAACCCACGCACCACTGGGATTGCAGTGCAGCTTCTTGCCACTAGGCCACCAGATCACCCTAGAGAAGAAATTATTCTTACATGCCACCTCTTTTCACAAATTACTCCAACATTTCATACTCTACTAATTCAAGATTTAGATCAGGAAACAAAATCAGTGACATAAAATAAAAGGTGATATGAAATATAAGGAGATAGGATGCATCCCTGGCGTACGCCCTTCCCAATTTTGAAGCATGCAGTGTTCCCTTGCTCTGTTCTGACGACTGCCTCCTGGTCCAAGTATAAGTTTCGCATTAGAACGATCAAGTGTTCTGGGATTCCTATTCTTCTCAGAGTCAGCCATAGTTTGTCATGATCTACACAGTCAAATGCCTTTGCATAGTCAATGAAACACAGATAGACATTGCTCTGGTATTTCCTGCTTTCAGCCAAGATCAGCTACAATATCTCTAGTACCACAACCCCTTCTAAACCCAGCCTGGACTTCTGGTAGTTCTCTGTTGATGTGCTGTTCCAGTCGTATTTGGATAATCGTCAGTAAAATCTTGCTTACATGTGAAATCAGTGAGATTGTACTGTAGTTTCCACATCCAGTTGGGTTAACTTTCTTTGGGATAGGAACAAATATAGATCTCTTCCAGTCAGTTGGCCAAGTGGTCGTTCTCCAGATTTCTTAGCACAACTTGGTAAGCACGTCCAGGGCAGTATCTGTTAACTGAAATATGTCAATTGGTATACCATCTATTCCTGGAGCCTTGGGCTCTATGAGGAAAAATGTGGGGTCAAGAGTTGTGGATGATTTATCAACAATCTGCGTTATGTGGATGACACAACCCTGCTTGCTGAAACTGAAGAGGACCTGAAGCGCCTGCTGCAGAGTGTCAAGGAC